CGTGGAGTCCATTCTGACCCACAGCGCCCCTAGAGGACAGAGTGGAACTGCACCACAGGGTCTCCAAGGCTGTCAGTCTTCATGGAAGCAAAGCCCAAACCACACCCACTGCCGTGGAGTCCATTCTGACCCACAGCACCCCTAGAGGTCAGAGTGGAACTGCCCCACAGGGTCTCCAAGGCTGTCAGTCTTCACAGAAGCAAAGCCCAAACCACACCCATTGCCCTGGAGTCCATTCCGACCCACAGCGCCCCTAGAGGACAGAGTGGAACTGCCCACAGGGTCTCCATAGCTGCCATCTTTATGGAAGCAGACTGCCTCCTCTTTCTCCCACGGAGCAGCTGGTGGGTTCAAACCACTGACCTTTAGGTTGGCAGCTGAGTGCTTTAACTATTGTGCCACCAGGACACGTTTATCAGAGGAGGAACCAGGGCCTGAACCACCACCGTCTCTATACACATCTACCTACCGTGGTTCTGTGTGTGTGCGTTTTTTATGAACTCACATACGTTACTGGAATACAAACAAGTATCAAAGCGTGAGGTCAGTGGCTGGACCTTCCGGAAAAGAGGAAGGTGTTTCCCAGCCGCCTGCTGGCCTCAGCAGGGGCACTGCAGGAGCCTTCTCCATCAGCGCTAAACGTTACCCTGGCCCCCGCACAGTGATTCTGACCACGTCTACCCCAAACCCAAGCCAAGGCAGAACCCCACATCCACACAGCCCCTGAGGGCCGGCTCAGACAGGAGCCACAGCCAATGCCCCAGGCCCGCCCGCCAGGCCCAAGCTCCAAGTCGGGCCTAGCACCCTCCTCATGCAGCTACATGCCGTGCTCACGCTGCCAGAAGCCCAAGCCAGTGGGGTACATACGGCAGGTGTACACGTCTCTGTACTCCATGTGCTCGTAATCAGGGAGGAGTCTCATGAAACGTCCCGACTTCACACGCGGGTTTATACCTGGACAGACACAGCAGGGGAAGGGCTGAGACTGTGCCGGCAGCCATGGCCACCTGAGCACGTCTCACACCACTCAACACCCACTTCCACACCAACAGCACGTTCCCTCCAGAGCCAACAACCAGCACACAGGCGGGCAGTCCTGCCCAAGCACACAAAGCTGGCTGCAAACGACAGTCACCTGCTGACCTTTCCAACCCTGAAGCCCAGACAGGGCAGGCTTGCAAAGCCACCCCAGATACCACCACCCTCCTCCTCCCCCAGCGGGTCTGCGAGACCCTTGGCCTTGGATCAGAGGGGTCCACAGCGTACCCAGAGAGTGGGTAATGTGGTCTGCGTCTTGGCCTAACTACTCAGGGACTCCTCTGCCCCAAGCATACACATGGAGCCCCATGGACACTCGCAGCTTCCCCGCCTTAGTTCTGGGGTGTCTTCAGTTGTGGGGTATCTTCAATTGTGGGGTGTCTTCACTTGTGGGGTATCTTCAATTACAAGGTGTCTTCAGTTGCAGGTAGTCTTCAGTTGTGGGGGACCTTCAGATACAGGCTGCCTTCACCTGTTGGGTGCCTGCACTTATGGGGTATCCTCAGTTACAGGGCACTTCAGTTGTGCAGTACCTTTGGTTGTGGGGTGCCTTCAGTTTTGGGGTGTCTTCACCTGGCTTTAAGGGGGAAGTTTCCCAGCCTTGTAAGTCCAACTTCCTGCTCTGAGTCCAGGCTGGTGGGTGCCACCACCTGTTCCTTCTGCCACCTGCCCTGCCCCAATGCTGTGTGATGTCCTCCTGGGAGAGTGTGGGAAGGACACCCACAAACCAAGCTCCCGCACTGGAATGCCCATGGCCGGTGTAAGCCTGACACTTGGGCTGAGTGACCGATGCTGTTAGCCACTTCCTGGACCCTGCAGACACTGTGAAGGGGTCAAGATCAGCAGACAAAAGGAAGCTATAGGCATTGCTGTCATGTCCCTGGGCATCCCCAGTGAAGTCCCCTCCCTCTAGACACCTGTGCAGACACAGCTCCCCAACCTCCTTCCCTCTCCACGCCTGCCTGCACCATGCCCTCAGCCACGCCGTCTCCTGCACACACACTCAGGACACGTCACCTCCCACCTGTACCCAGATATCCTCTCCTACCAGCCTCGGCCACCTCCCCTGCTACAGCCAAGGGGCTGCTGGGACCTGTCCTTCCTCATGAGTGTTCCCCACGAGGACTGCCGGACGCCCCTTAATGCCCAGACAGGCATGACCTTTAACGTCTGTCTCCACACGAGCTGTTGAGGTGACCCCAGTGCACACACGCACGTCAGGGTATAACTGTGCCCACGGGCTTCCAGTGACTCATCGCTGGGAAGCAGAGCTGCACGCCTTGCGTCTACGAGCCTCCGGCGGACAGAAAGGCCAGGGCAGCACTGTGCAGAGGGTATCCCCACGCCTCTGTGGGCCAGGCAGGGAGCAGCACCGCGGCGCATGGCCTGGCTGTGCTCTAGGGGCCCCAGGCATCCACACTCCCAAGAGGGCCTGGCTCTCGGCAAAAGGCCTATGAGATGAGGATCATGAGTGGAAATCTCCCCCAAGTGTCAGCCCCAAATTCTAGCCTAGAAACACGAACCTACCCAACAGTCCTTCCCCAACCTGACCTGGGGTAAGTGGGAATAAGTCTCCCTGTGGGAGGAGCCTGGACGGAGGAACAGCCAGGGTCAGGGACAGAAAGCACCCTTGTGGCACCAAGTCAGCCACTCCCGGGACTCAGTCTTACCTGGACAGAAGGGGCAGGCATGTGGGTGAGGGGACTTCGAGTAACAATGTAGCAAAAAAAGGGACAGCAGCAAATCATACCAGGAGCTCTGGTGGCATAGTGCCTAAGGCACCTGACTGCTAACCATAAGGTTGGCAGTTCAAACCCACCAGGCACTCCTTGGAAGAAGGCTGGGCAATCTACTTCTGTAAAGACACCACCTCGCAAACTCAAGGAGGGGTCGCTATGAGTCAGAAACAACTCGAAGGCATGTAACAACAACAAAAGCACATCACAGCAGCCAACAAAGCCTCTAGGCCTGAGAGGAAGCTTCCAGAACTCCTCTGCACCAGCCCACGACTGTGCCTACTCACACCCAGCCCTGAGCCGTGGATGCATCAGTGGCCTGGCGGTGCAGGCCTCTCAGTTCCTGGGCCAGGCGCTGAGTAAGGAACAACCCGGTCTAGGTTACCCTCAGACGACGTGGTAGAAAGTCCAAGGGACTAGAAACACCAAAGTCAGCCAAGAAGGTCTAAAGACGGGTTCTCAGTCCTGTTCAAAGACGTCACCAGGTCAACTGGGGGAGAACAGCCTTGGGTGGCCACCTCCACTCTTAGTCATGTCTCCCTCTGTGAGGAGTCACATCACACTAACCCCCACATGCCGGCCAGCATCTCCCAGTCGGCCCCTCCTCAAAACACTGAGACAACAACGTTAGTGTTAAAATGGTGCCTTCAGTCTCTTCATCAAAAGTGGGGAGAAATGTGGGCGTTTCCTGCCTGAATGTTCCCAGGCAGCTGGGAAGGTGGTTTGGGGAGGCTGGGAAACTCGGCGCCATGAAATGTTGCTGATGATCTAGGAAGCAAAGGAATCAGAAAAACAAGGAGAATGGGGGTGGGGAGCTCAGTTGCCTAGAGCAGCCCTGAAACGAGAGCTGAAGGCATAGAGCACTGGGGGAGGCGGGACGAGGACGGAGCTGTCCACACACCCATCAGGCCCAGGGCCCAGAGTCCAGGGAAAGGGGCGGCTCTGGAAGCAACCAGGGTCATTTCCAACACTGCCTTCCCATTACAAGGCTAAAGGTCTCCTGTGTCCAGTAAAACCCACCTTTACCACCGAGGAAGTGAAGAGTGGGTGCAACAGTACACCCAAAAAGAGCCCCCCATTTTCAGTGGGAGTACCAGCTCTGCAGTGTCACTGATTGAGTTTAGCACACTGACTGTGAAGACGGAACTGTGGTCAAGCTGCCCTGATGGCCCACCCACTACTGACAGCCAGCTTCCAGAGCAGGTTAACCGGTGAAGTCAGAGGGTAACTCACGCTTGGCATAGACGTCGCGGCAGGACACGCCTGTGATCTCCAGCTTCCGCAAGTTCTCACAAACCCCATACTCTGTAAGGGGGAAAACGGCCGAGAATTAAAATGGAAAAGCCACGGAGCAACAGACAAACCCGTCATAGCCTTCTCTACCCGGTTTCGGTCTGCCTCTCCCTGTGGAGGGTTTATGGGACTTCACATCCAGTCAAGATTACCCTCAGTGAAATGAAAACCCTCACAATCCAATCAGCTCTACAAGCTGAACAGTGCCAACCAAACAGCCCACCTCATTTCCTAGTGAGGGGCCGACGACTGGTGGGCAGAGGTCACACACGGTGGTCAGGGTCTGACCACCACAAAGGCCCCTGTCGCCTGCAGGGCAGCTCCTGATGCCCGTAGCTCTGTCAAACCAAGCCCCAATCCTGTGCCTGGGCAGTCATGGCCAGACACTGGGGCACTGCGGCTTTCTGGGTCCCCTGTTCCTACGCGGGCCCCAGACCAGGTGCCAGAGCAGGCCTGGCACATACCCGCCCGGCCCACCTCCCCCAGCTGACAGCACCTCCTGTGCCTCCCCCGACTTCCACCCCACCCCGCTCCCCTCTGCGAAGTCACTGCCCACCCACTGCCCAGTCGGGAGGTGCCCTGCTGGCCCTGCTGTTCAGGCCTCAGCCACGGTCTGAAAGGAAACACGCAAAATGGGGCGAAACCACAAACGCAGCCCACGGGGGCTCACGGCGCTTCACGACAACGTCGCGCAGGCCCAGGCGGCCGTAGGGCGTGCCCGCGATGCACCCTACGGCCCGGCAGACAGCACGCGGACGATCCCAGCAGCCCTGAGCGCTGGGTTCGACCTGGAGACCGCGGCTCGGCGGGATGCGGCACGCGTCCGACCTCCAGTTCAGTAAACACGGGTCGGCACCAACAGCATACTCGGGCAGGCTGAGTCAGCTCGCTGGGGCAGGGATGGCGTTTTAAAAGTTCATCGTGTGTCACGCACTTACATGGATGGGTTTGAAATTGGAATCATCTTAAAACCTTGATTTATTAATCCATCTGTCATGGGTCCTGAGGTGGTCCCAGAAGGTACTGTTAAAAATTAAAAGCAAAGTCGCAGACTGGCGTAGGAGAAGGCGGGTCAGTGGCGTGAGGAGACCTTCCCTGCACACAGTGGGCTTGTGGGCCCGCTCCCTGCTGGGGTCTGCATCCAGAGGAGGCGCCTGAGGCACCAGGCGTTGGCGCAGGCCTCTTGCCCCCTGCTTCACAGCCACAGAGACCAATGCCGCTGGGCCCCTGCAGCTCACTCCCTTCGGTGGAGCCCACGGTGCTAGGGCCATGTGAGGCCCGCCTGGGGGTGCAGCCAGCGACTGGGAAGAATTTCCTCAGTGGAAGTGTGTCAGCACTGGAAGAATGGCCGCGGGAGGCCCTGACATTTTCTCTCAAGTTTTGTTGGTTTTCAGAACTCTAAGAGTAGTAGGTAGAGGGTCTAAGGTAATTTCCTGGAATGACCTCAGACCCTCTACAAGTAGAACTGCCCCACAGGGTTTCCAAGGCACGAAATTTTTACCTAAGCAGACTGCCACATCTTCCTCCCGCAGAATGGCTGGTGGGTTCAACCCACCAACCTCTGGGTTCACAGCCTGGCGCTTAAGCACTATGCCACCAGGGCTCCTTCCTGGAACTGCAGGAATAACCCAGTCAACAGGTCTTTGATGGCTATGTCTCGCACAGCTGCATTAAGTGCTATGTAGTAATGAAAGACTAAGCTGTCAACAGGCGTTTCCACCAATCCAACATGTTTGCTGTAGAATGAGAGGAGTCGCCACTGGAGAATGAAAACACCCCGTCTGTGTTACGGGTAACACGAGAGGAGACTTGCTGGAGTTTTAATCTGTAAACAAAAGCGTTCAAGTACGGCATCTGTTCATTTCCCCTGACATTCTGTGGTTCTCACAGGGACGCAGGACTATCCATCAGCAAGTACTGACAGGTGGAGAGAAAAAGGCAGTGGTTTGTACACTAAGTGTGGCATCCAGGCGGCTCTGTTCCTGAGACACGTGCCCTGTGACTGACTCCGAGGGGCGTACAGCGGGCACTGACCACGGCACCACCGCTGACCTTCCGTTCCGAGAGTCAGTGCCGCACATGGTGGCAGCACCCACCCTGTGCTGTACTGCAGATGTGCTGACACAAACACCCTGTCCTTCCAGTTGATCGGCGGAGGGCAGTTATCCCTGCAGTGGGCAGCTGGGGGGCCAGACACCACAGACTCGCTAACCTGCCTTCCTCTCTCCACCGCTTTGGTCGGGGGCCTCCTCGCACACTGGGGCTCGCAGGCCTCTGCCAGCCTCGCACAACCCCACCTCACCTTTCTTGCTGTGTCCCTCTCCTCCTCGTCCGGGCCCTGTCCCCTCAGCCTGTGGCACTGCTCTCTGGGGGGCTCAGAGTGAGATGACCAATGATTTTTTCAGTTTTTTTTTTTTTTAAATAAACTTTACAACAGTTTTTGGTTTACAGAAAAAGTGGAGAGAAGAGCAAACGCATCTGCTGGTGCTCATCTTGCTTCCGGCACCCAAAGCCTTTGCTGGCTGTCTAGACTGTCCCTTGGCGGTTTCTGTGCAGACTGCCGGAGGCCGGCAGCTGGGTTCACAACGTCTGCCTGGCTCCAGCGCGCACTCCAGCAGGACAAAAGCAATGCATTTGTTACCTGTGGAAAACTGCCTGGACTTGTGAATGCTCCCCAGGTCTGATCTCAGAGGACCAGCTCGTCAAGCCCGAGGTCACCCTAAGTCTCTGCCTGCTGGACCAACAAATGATACTTCACTGTCAGGTAGGGAGTGGGCTTGCAAGATCTGACAAGCCATCAGAAGGGCTACAGAATGCTGATAAGAGTGCTCACAAGCACAGCAGCCCGTGCAGGGCTCTGTCTAATGGCCCCACACACACCACAATACAACAGTGTCATTCTAATCCAACTGTCCCAGCAAGAAGTGGGCAGTGTTTTCTGCACGATGGAAAAATCTCCCTTTCCAGTAGCAGCTGAAAACAATTCCTCATCCTGTCATTGTGCTCGAATCCTTCCCCTAAGTCATCAAGGGAGACAGCCCTGAAACTGCTTTTAAGGCCAAGTGTCCTTGGCAGCGCCATGGGCTGTGCCTTCCAAAAGAGCTAATCTGTGTCCGTCCCACCCTTGGGCACCAATCTTACGCAGAAGACTAACAGGTAGCCCACCTGCCCTTGCTGGCCACAGCCGGTCACTGAGTAATGGATTCAGTGCAGCAGCTGTCAACTGAAAACCACTGCTAACCAGCCACTCCAAGTGGCTCAGGAAGTTCCTGTTAAGGGTGTGCCCAAAGAGGGGAACAAAAACGGGAAAGGGGAGAAAAACTGGGTAAAATTAAATATTACTATTCAAATATTCCAACCAGAAAGTTTCCAAACTGATTTTAAAGATGCTCTGCCAAGAGGGCTGCAGCAGGCCAGTATACTGGGTGTCCTAAACCTTTACCACGGACAGTGCGGGTGGGTTGCGGGAGGCCAGGTAACTGACAGCTCGGAAGTGTACAGTTCACAATAGCCAAAAGGAGGAACGGTTTATTACATGTGTTACCACAATCATATATGTCACCACAATTGTGTTAGGAATGTTACCACAATTGTATTATATATATGTTACTGCAACTTTTAAAAATTTAGCCTCAGAGAAGGAAGTGGGCAAGTTGTGTAAGTTCAAAACCAGTAACTAAGCCAATACCTTATGAAATTCTGTTTCAAGCTCTTGGAGTTCAGTGTGGGCTAGGAACAAAGGTATATAAGCAGGTCCAATTTCAAAACTTCTCTTTTAATATTTGAATATTCTGATTGAGAATGATGGTCTGCATTTCAAAAACTCACCATTACTAAATGAACGGTGTTAAATTTTTGAGCAGATTCTACAGAACCCTAATCAAAAGGGGGGAGATGTGGAACAGAGTTTCAAATTCTCATGCAAACCAGACTTTATGGAGCGATCCAGACTGGGTAAAGCCCTGAAACTATTGCCCTGGCATAATCTTTATACCTTAATCCAAAAATACCCCTTGAAGTCTTCTTAAAACCAAACAATAATTTACCCTAACTGGAAAAAAAAAGGAAGGAAGTCTGCCTTGAAATGCCATGCTCCTTGAAGATCTGTCTGTAGGAGACAGAAGTACAACAGCCACTGGGAAGGTCAGACAGGCAGCGTGGGGGCAGTGAGTGGATGTTAAAGGGGAGGGCCAGCTCAGAGAAGGAGGCTGAGAACAGCCTCACGACTGGACGAATGGAACCCGTGTCCGGGAACTTCACTGGAGAACCTGCCGAGCTGGCGCCCGCTCTGCGGTGTACTTCCCAACCAGGACAACAGAACACAAAATGAACGATGTGCAAGTCGGCCAGCACTTTAGCACTGACCCCTAAGTGCTGAGGTCTGGACGGAGCAGTCTGGTCACAGGCACAGCAGACGCCAGCTTGGCCTCTCCTCCGCACTCCGAGAAATGACGACTTATTTATAGCCCATAGGCAAGTAGCTGCAGGGGGCCCAGGGCCAAAGATGTGACGCATCAAAACTGCTTCTGCCTCCCCGGCCACCTGCCCTGCTGTGCTTCTGTAAGAGGCCATCCTGCGTACGCCCCGAGCCCCTCCTCGGTGGAAACGTCCTTCCGCCGCCCACCGCGCCCCGCCCACCGAAATGCTGCAAGAAGCCAGTCAACCCAACAGACCCAAGCTGCCCCACACCCCCAGCACCTGCATTCGTCCCCTTCCCAATGGGGGGCAGCTAGGCCAAAGACCCCTAGAAATAACTGCTTGGCTACTAGTGGGACAGAATTTGGAGCCACTCACCAAACATTAAAGCAACTACTTCACTGTAAGTTCCTCCCATGCCCCCACAATCATCACAGTATTTTACAAAGTTCTCTGTCAACATGCACACCCCCAAAAGTCGACCACTGTCCCAAATTCTTTGAAGCAATGCAACACAAGTCTACAGGTCCTCCACCCTCTCCCCACCCCTTTTTGGGGGCTGGTGTTCTGTTCTGGGACAGCCAATGATGAAATTG